CTGTTTTGTTTCTTCTTTCTTGTGGTTCCTCCTATTGGTTCTAATTCTTTTATAACATGACTAATGTGAAAATATGTTTAATAGGAATGTGTATGTAAAGCCTATATCAGATTGCATGCCGGCTTGGAGAGGGAAGAGGGAAGGGATGGGGAGAAAATTTAAAGCTCAAAAGCTTATCGAAGTGAATGTTGAAAACTAAAAATTAATTAATTAATTTAAAAAATGAGCTGGAGAAGGAAATGGCATACTACTTCAGTATCTTCCAAGAAAACCCCCAAATGGTTTGACTTAAGACATGATGGAAAGACATGACTGAAACAACTAAACAACTTCCTTTCTCTAGGCCCAGCTCTCCATTCACTGTGCCAGTTATCTCTTGTTGTAATTACCCAGTGAGGAACATAGACAATGTGGGCATAAGTTCTGTTCTATGGATTGGCCCAGGGGCATTACCACATCTTCATTTAAGGTTTATTTTGTATTTGTACTATTATTGCAAAATGATGTTAATCTGGCTAACTTGCTATGTAGTATGGCTATATACTAACTCATTAAAAAATAGAATGACTATTTACGAGACTATTGACAGCGAGCATCCTTTGGTATCGGCCTTTGGTTGCTCTAGAGCAAGCCTACACAACCTGTGGCCTACCAAAGGATTTCCTCTACATCCCAAGGATGTTTTCCTCTACATTTTTTCCAGGCTGCCAGAAATCCTTTGGCATGCTGCAAGTGGCGCACGGGCTGCGCATTGTCCAGGCCTACTCTAGAGTCTAGACTGATGGTCTAGAGTCCAGCCAGGGGCGCAGTTTGCAGATCACATGTGGCCCTCTAGGTCCCCAAGTGCAGCCCTTTGACTGAATCCAAACTTCACAAATCCCCTTAATAAAAGGATTTATTCCGTAATATTTGGACTCAAAAGGCTGCACCCAAGGACCTAGAAGGTCATATGGGGCCTTGAGGCCACAGGTTCCCTACCTCTGGCTCTAGACCATTGCCTAGTGATGGCTGGGTTGGTTGCTTTGTACTGTTAAAAGTGAGGGCTGCACCAATGACCTGCTGCCCCAGTTACTTACAGATTTAGAGAAAGTCCAAGTGGTTATACCAGAAAGTATATTGTAGTCAAAGTGAGAATACTCCAGTTCTGGTCTAAGCTTCACTAATTTAGCCCTGTGATCACAAAGGGTGATATTAAAAAATTGCCTTTTACAAAGGCAGGTAAGAAAGTGCTTTGTAAAATGTTGATTCAGTTTGACAAATATTGATAAAATGTGCTTGCTATTTGCAAAGTATTGTGTTCTTGATGCTCCTAGAGATACATATAGGTCTTTTTCATATCTTTCCATACAGTCTCCATAAAGGATTTACCCAAAACAACTGAAGATCTCGATCCTCTGGTTCTTTTGATAGTTTGTTGATACCAATACAACACATATGCCATGTTAGCCTGACAACATGACCAGCCCATCTCCTTTTCCTAGCATATACAGATCATGTATGTCTCTTATCACATGCCTTGGGGTGTGAGTTATGCCTACTACAGCCTTTTGGGACATTTGAAATTTTAATTCTTTTGAATTGTGACCATCTAGGTGATGTGGTAGATAGTGCTGGACTTGAGTCAGGGAGACCTGGGTTCAGGTCCTGACTCAAAACTATTAATAGCCATATGTTCATGGGCAAGTTTACTCCTTTCAGCCTCAGTTTCCTTATCTGCAAAATGAAAATAATAATAGTAGCATTTCACAGAGTTGTGGTAAGGATTTGAGGTTAACATGTAAAGTGTTTTGCAAGTTTTTAAAACACTGTATAAATTATTCATTTTTACACTGTGGTGTTCATGAGGGAATTTATAAAAATGAAAAAATGACCCAGTTCTTGTCCTCAAGCAGCTTAGAATCTAGTTGTGGTACAAATGTTAAATTTATTTCAGAAGAATCTGGAGCGCTAGTCCTCTTGGATAAGCCATCTGCTTCAGGTTTTTCATTTGTGAAAGTGACTAATACTGTCTAACCCCCCACCTAGAGAAATCTTTATTCTCTTAAATCAGATTTTTTGGTGTTTTTTGATTTTTGTTTTTGGTTTTTTTTTTTTGTTTTGTTTTTGGCAGGCGGCAGTATTTAACAGGGTGGGAGGATGGACTAGGTCTTGAGTCTCTGATATAATAAGAATGGAAAAGTAAGAACACTAGCGAGAAGACTTCTATTTATAGACATTCTTGTAGGATAAAAATCTTGATTAATTGGTTCTCAACTAAAATCTTAAATTACTCAAAAATTCTGTCATTCCATTCCTTCCTTATGCTTGACTTTGAGGAAAAGTCGCAAATTAACAATAGGAAAACAAGTTAGTTTCAGGAGCTTCTTCTTTCTTTCTTTTTAAATAAATACCAACATTCCAAGTTATGGCTGTCTCAGTACACCTCTCTTGAGTGGTGTGATTGTGGGCAAGCCACCATTCTAAGCTTCGGTTTCCATATCAGTAAAACAGGGATGATGTCTGCTTTATTTGACAGACTTTGTGAGGAAACAACTTTATAAACCTTAAATTCTAGAAATGTTGTCATTATTATTCTAGTTACACTATTGTACAGAATTGGTATTTACAATGACCTTAATCTCCAAAAAAGGTTTATGTAGACTATACTGTACTGAGGTAAGAAAGTGGACAGATGTATTTTTAGTCTCCATCAGTAGGATCTTCCTCTGATAACCTCAGTTAGCAAGAAGTTAGCTAGTATCCCTTCCCCAACCTTTGCCTCAACAACTGAAGTTTTATTCCATTTTGCATGAAGATATGATAATGACTCCTTGGTAATGGGTAGAAGAGTCCAAAGCTAAATGGAATTGGGGTACTGGCTCGCTCCCCATGGCATAGTCTATACCATACTTGGAGAAAAGTGGAATAGACTGACTTGCTTATTCTAGACTTAAGGAGGTGACATCTATAAAATCCATCTGGTTGTGTTTGTCCTAAGGCCTCATGTGTCATTCTCTTCACTCCTTTACTTTGTGTTCCCTAAGCATTTGCTTGCTTTCACTCACTTGTGTAACACTGATGATACAGATGTTGCTTTAGAAGTGTCTTCAAGTCTTTTATTAACAAGTTTTTGTCCCTTCCAAATAAATTGAAATCTTGAAACACTCTAAAACAGAGGAATCTAGGGATAGTTACTTGAACATAAATGTTGTATGCTGGTTCTTATCATAACTATTTTTTTAAGAGTTGTCAAATATATGTCATATACTTCTGAACCTCTCATTTTACAGATGAGAAAACTGAGACCCAGAGAAGTCAAGTGATTTTCCCTGCTTGCCTGGCACAAATGGGGGATATGGGCACTAAAGAGAAAGAGAACAGAGATACTGGCTAGACAACTGGGTTATTTTAAGAGTAGATCATTCTCACTGTATGTTATCTCATCTCCCATCTTCTGTTCTGAGTGCATTTTGCATTACTTGCTGACTCCTTCAATGTGGACAGTTCAGGACTCATTAAGTTAGTGTAGGTGACTAATGTGAAAATATATTTAATATGATTGTACATGTATAACCTATATCAGATTGCTTGCAATCTCGGGGACAAAGGAGGGAGAAGAAATTTGGAACTCAAAATCTTATAAAAGTGACTGTTGAAAACTATCTTTACATGTAATTGGAAAAAATAAAATAGTAAGTGGGAAAAAAAAGTCAGTGTAGGTACATTTTCCAAAAAGTAGATCAAGAAGGTCAAGTTACTCAGTGTTTTAGGTACCACAAAAGTGATGTTTTCTGATTGTTAAATAGTTTTACATCTCAGCATATGTCTCTCCCCCCCCCCCTCAACTTCATGTTGAACCAGATGGCATGAAAGAGAGAAGGGAGGCATGGAATTTCTAACAGTGCTGACTAATTTCCAATTGTTTAAGTACTTGGTAGGATGCATTATAAAGCACTTGAATCAGTGGGCCTTCAAAATGTTCCATTTTTGTTTGAATTACACTGATTCATTTGGATTAGAGATGCACTGCACAGTAAGTATTAATGGATTCTTTGAGAACTCTGGTTTTCATTGTATAATTGTTCCACTGTGTGATAAATTATAGTATAATGTTATTCAAAAATGGTGAAAAAAATTCATCTTGACGTTTCCTTCCAGCTCTAAAATTCTGTGACCAGAAACAAGTATGAACTTGTATGATCTTTCCATTTCACATTCAACTTTTCTCAAAGTTCAGGCTAGTTAGGCAGAAATCTATAATGGACATGAACTTATACTATTTTAATATTTAATTTATTTTTTTTTCTTTTGGCACAGTTACTTCTTTGGTTTTTAACTAAATAAGAAATACTAATTTTGATGCTGAGTACACAATGATATAGATCATACTGATGGAATTTCAGGTTTCATCAGCTAAATTCACTAGTACTGATGAGCTTGGGCATACAAATCATGAATCTAGAACTGAAAGGAAACTTAGAGGACATCAAAAGTGACTTGCCCAAGGTCACACAGCTATTAAATGCTAGATGTGGGATTTGAACCCAGGTCTTCCTGACTCTATCCCTTATACCACACTGTCTCTCAAATTATATCTAGTCAGTTTTTTTTTTTTTTTAAAAGGTGAGATGCCCTCACCTCTTCTAGAAGCTGAGGTCATGGTAGAACTTTTCAGGCCATTATTGGTTTATATTTATTTTCAGAGAGTTTTGGGGACCCAGAATGGATCTGGATTCCTGTTTGTATCCTATATTTTAAGAGATGGGTCCAGAAAGATTTCTTAAAGTGAAATAGAACTATGAAAATTCTGTGTGTGTACACAGCAAGATGAGATAGACATGAGATACAGGATTACATTCTGGATGAATCTCTGAGTCTTTTTGTGACTAAGTTTACAGAAAAAGGGCTAAAAATTGGGTCCTGGACTGAATGGTGGTAAAGGTACATTTCAACCAAGTTACATGGATAAAAATCCAAGTGCTACAGTTTTTTACTTTAAAACCTTTTTACTTTTCACAAAGGGTTTGCTGTGAGCCTTCAAGTGATCTTGTCCAATCCAAAAGCTGTATTTAAGCGCCGTGGGTCCCAGCCAGGGATGCAAGAGTCTGATTTTCTAAAACAGATAACAACAGTTGAGGAACTGGAACCAAAAGCAAACAACTGCACCAAGGTATTCATTCATTTTACCAGTGTTGCTTAACTGTGAACTGAATTGCAATTAGGGGCCCTGCTCTAAACTAACATTTTCTTTTCCCTTAGGTTCTGGTATGGCACACTCGAACAGAAAAGGTCAATCTAGCTAATGAGCCAAAGTATCACCTGGACACTGTTAAAATTGAGGTCTAACCTGAAGAGGGAAACCATGATGGACAGATGGTTGGGGCAAAGGATGCCTCCTGAAGCTTAGGCTGCAAAAGCATTCAGGTATTGCTCACTCTTCTACAGTGCAACAGTCCCAATTTTCATCTGATGGACATCTGTATAAACAAATCAGATGGTGTAAAAATGGATGTTTTGTCTTCCCTCGATTTGCATGTTTCCCCTCACCATTTCAGTTACATAGAGTCACCTAAAAGATCTTTATATCGAGAGAAAATGATGCGGCAAGGGAACACTTCCAACTACTTGCTTTTTATGTAGTTTTTTTCTTCTCCCCCGCCCACCATCTCAGTTGGTGAAACTGAACAGGTTTTTAGGAACAAATCAGTGATAGTGCTATTCTGACCTCTCAGCACAAAGTGATTCCTTCAAGATCAGTGGCAAAATATAGCTAAGGAAATAAAACCCACAAGAAAGGTTGATGGATTCATCTGTTTAATATAGGGAAATAACATTTTGTCAATACTAGGCACCATAATATGTAAACACAATTACTGTCATAAACCTGGATATACCTTCAAGGATTAAAAGTACTATTTTGTAGATACCCTGTATGCATCTAGTGCAAGGAGTGCTCTGCAGCTTAGCACTATGTACACAAGAAGTGATCCCAATTATAGGAGACTCAGAAAATACTCAGGATTTCTTTATTCTTTGAACAGATTAAATTTTGTGGTAACATCCAGGTTTATCTTCCTTTCACTAACCATGTTCCCTGTTAAGCACACCATAACAACATCACAGTGAAATGAATGATGAAATAAAAGAATTTTGATACACTAGAAAACAGTGCTCAGTGATACATTTACATCCTATTTATATGGTTAAACATCTGTTCATATAGTACCTTTCTACAGGATTACTGGCTAATTTGGGGGCAGGGTTTATACTGTTAGAGGTATTACTAACATGATAACTACTTCCCTTATATGCAAACAGTAGACCTATAATCTTATTGAGAATAAAACTGATTATGGAAATTGACTAAGCAGCTTCTCCGAGAATATGGTTTATGAAATCATGTGTAGTACGAAAAAAGCTGCCAGTGACGTCAATATGGATTCTCAGCCTGCTTTTTACCACATCAAATTTAATCAATAGAGACCAACACGGTCAGTCAGTTAATTCTTAATATGAACAACTGGGGGGGAAAAAGAATCTGTACATGAATAAACAGGGGAACTAGATGCATTTATCAAGGAATGTCAGGTGGTGATAATTCTGGATGAAACTCCTATTGCAGTTTTCATTTCCACAGCTGTGTGCTAAGAGTCTGACCCGATGAGCTTCCAGACCATCCTGCTGTTGTACTGGGGGGTTGGCCAAAACCCACAGCACTGCTAGCACTGGTGATGTTCATTCCAGCCATTTGCTGATTCATCTGTGAAACACAGAAGTAGTTCGGTAATTAAGCAGAAAGAAAATACTAAGTACACATTCCATGGCAATTTATGTATTACATTGTCATAACATATGTTATGCTTTCCTCCCAAATATTTTGAGGGTAGCCTAGAATAAGTTTTATTTTAAGGATGTGTACTTTTTTTTTCCCTTTCAAAAGAATAACAGTTTTACAGGGGCAACTGATATTCAGGCCAATGAAAAGTGTACAAATAATCATATATAAGGAGTTGGATGTAAGCTAATGTTGGCCTGAGTGGTTTTGACTGCCAATAACAGACACTGAAAAGTCTTAGCCTGAGATTAAATATGAAAAACAAAGCCTACTTAGTTTCAAGAGAAACAAAGGTGAGAAGGAAGTTTCGCACATGTGTTTTAAATGTATTCACATCATACAGCCTTCTAAAGAATTTAGACTGGCTACCAAGGGGAAAGTCACCAACAAAATATTCATTAGACAACAAGACATCTCTAGCCTAAGAGTCCTGATAAAACCAAATCTAAAACTTGAGAAGTTTTACATGGCCAGAAAAGAATGGTTTAGGCTGCTTGCTTTGGGATTAAAAAAAAAAAAAAAGAAATGTTAGTACTCTGACTACTCTCACTTACTTGCTAGATAGAAAATATGCAGATTTGGGTAAAGGCAATTCAATACTCTATTACAGACTAAATTTGTATGTATTGGCCTGTATGAACTTTTAAATCAAAGTGAGCAATTGCAGTGCTTTTTACTTATGTGTGCCAAAACAAACTTAAGTATGTGTTCTTCTGTAATAATACCCAAGCTGATTTGCCTGTAATGAGTTTTATGGACATTATTCTTTTGGATACTCTGTGTTTAGGAGCTGCTTATCTTAGGTTTTGGATCCAGTTTCTGATCATAAACAATGTAACATGTATTTTTTTTAAAATGCAACCCACAGGAATGTAGCCATAAAAATTGCAAATAGTATGGTACCAATGTATTCAATAGGAAGTTTTGAATTTCAGAGATGCAATAAGGGTTAAATGTTTTAGAAATTCAAACATTTAGCAAGTCAGATGCTCCTAAATTATGCCTAATATACTGAAACTGCATGACACAGGTATTATATAGTTCCTTTCCAAAATTTCTGCCTTTAATGAACTGTAAAGTGACTTTTTTGAGGACTTAAAAGATATCTTCCTGAATTATCTAACAATGTCCTAATGAAAAAGAAGGATTTTTAGATTTGACACCATGTGATCCTTGAAGATTAAGACAGATCTTGCCCCAATGGGTATGTGCGTGTAGCAGGTAGAACCATCACTTCCCACACTACTTCAACTCTACTGGAAGCAGTAAAGATTCCCCCGAACCTCACGCCTGGTGGCAGTAGTCCCTCCTCTGGAGGGTATCTCTGCCATCTGTCAGTACAGAGTGGTGTGTGCATGAAAGCAAAAGCTCAGCTTCTCAGCAGCTGGAAAGAGATGAGCTTTATTGGGATCCTAGTTTGAAGACTACGTTTTTATATAGAAAACTTCAAGTCAACCTCATACACTTGGCTGGATTATATCTTGGAGCATATCTCAAATTTGACAAGCAATAATGTTAGCTCATAGCCTATAAAGCAGGTCACACAGTTAATGAGAGTAATCCATTCCCCCCTTCTTCAGGTGTTATAAAACTGTTTATACGCATCTTCTACTAATGGCTGTTTCAAACACCTCACCTTCTCAGGATAGATGGCAAGTGGGGCAACTCAGATTTAATCAAGAAAGATTATAAGCAGCACTACTAAAAAATTACTGCCCTTGTGTATTAATGAGTCAAGAGTAGAACACTCAATTGCCCAAAAATACAGCATCTGATCGTCAGTGAAGAGACTATCTGTTCTGATCGATACGTTTGTCTGTCTAGTTGTGGTGTCTTGAGATTCCTTGAAGACAGGAATTTATGTAATGTACATATTGTAAAAAAAATTAAGTTAAAAAAATTATATCCTGGAATCTCCTAACTAGCAAACTGATCAATTTGAGTTTATGCTCACTTCTCATATTTAGGAAATCTTTAAAGATTAATATTCACCAAGCATACTTAGAATGGTAGTAGAATGTAAATAAATAATAATGAAAGCGCAACTTTCTGGGTCTTATTGCCTTTATGCCCCCCTTTCTCCTCTCTGGCTAGAATTGGAAGCTCTCCCATGCATCCTTAAAGAAGGGCTCCAGAGGAGATCCTGGCAACTGTAGACTGGTGAGTCTCCTGTCCAAATCCAGCGAAGTTGCTGTAACCTATTAACAAAGTCAAGGGTCACAAAATGCATAAACTTTGGGGGTGGACCAAAAACCTAGACCCAAGTTATGGAGGGTTTATTCTAACAAGGTTTCAGACCAAAAACTGCTCAAAGGAAAAAAAAAAAATGAAGCAGCAAGCTACCAAGGAATTGAGAGTTGTATTTTGTCATCAACAGAGAGCCAGCTTTTTAAAAAGCAAGGGGATAAATGGGAACTTCTTTGGATGGAAACATATTTACAGTGGATATTATTCCCCTAGGAATTGATGTTGAAATCAGGCTTATGTAACATTTTCACAGATTATCTGGAAAGGAGAATGAGTGTACAATATCATTTTAAAAGTTTGCAGATGACACTAAGACTTAACAGATAGAAAAATCTCATATGATTGTATGAAAAGGGGAAGATGAACTTCAATGCGTGAAATACAAAGTGACGAATGCATTTAAGGGAGGAAAAAACCTATACTTGGATGGATGAGGATTTTAAACTGTTAAAAAAGCAAAAAAAGGAGTTGCCACACCCAGGGTTCCCAGCCCTGTAGCTATCGGCTCAATATACTGCTGAGACAAACCAATAAAAAACCCAAACGCCAATTCTGGGCAATACCAGCAAGTATATTAGAAAAAGAAAACAACATCCTACTTTTGTAAGAATCTGTGGCGTGTCTACACCTGGAATACAGCATTCTGGATAGCCACATTTGAAAAATAACAAAATAGAGCTAGAGGACATTTAGAAATGGGCTAAGGAGAGGAATTTTTATATGAGGCTGCAATGGAAAAGTTAATTTTAGTCTAAAAAGTATGGTCTTACATGTAAAAATCTATATCGTAATACAGAATGGACATGGGCTTATTCACCCAATAATAGAACTAGAGAGTACTCTGTATAATAGTTTTAATACAAGAGGAAATGCTACTAGAGATACTTTTGGATTTGGTTATCCAATGTGGTGGAATAAGTGGAAAATACTAATTCATGAATGAATGATCAACATCTGCACATTAAAGAAGAATTTTTTTTAGGTTGGTAACATCCTATACAAAACATCAGACCTAACCTAATGACTTTTCACATGTTTGTGATTTGACCATAATAACATTTCCCTAATATCTGACCATTTAAAAATCAATTAGGGAAAAATCTCAAGAATTTGTTAAAACTTTTGTTCCTATGGTACAAAAGCCAAGAAAAGGGGTTTCTTTTGTATGACAAATCTAAATCTTGCTCTTGGACATTATAATAGGTGCATGTTAAACATTTAAGCATGTATCAAGTGCCTATATAGTTCAGGCACTGTGCTAGGCACAGGGGATAAACAGATACTTCCTATTGTAAACTGTCACAATGCTGATTTTTAAAAATCTGGAATCATCAGAAGATTACTGAATCCATGATGACAACATGTTAATACCCAAAACAGGTTTCAAAACTCACCTGCTTTATGAGCACTCAAATATTAAAACATCACCCAGGGCTAAACAGCATCTCTTTCATAGCAGTGCATTTAACTAAAAATTAAACTAAAAAAGATAAATAAATGTACGCTCTTTAGTTTGGAAAAAGGCTGGAAAGCAAATGCACACCTCATACCTGAGAAAGGTTCCACTGGGGCTGTTGAGTTTGCTGGATACCAAACTTATTCTGTGCTGCTCCCATTTGTCCTACCATTCCTCCTTGAGACCCGACA